TAATGTATTAGTTTCAGGTTGTTTCCCCTTCTTTGTATTTCTTACTATTCTATTAAATTAAATATATGACACTAAGTTTGTAATTCCTTTATTACTTTGATTCAAAACAACAGTTTGTTTAATTTTGATTTGAAGATAATTACCTTTAGTTTGAAAAGATTGTTGTTTTTTTTTTTTTTTTTTTTTTTTTTTGTGGAAATTAAAAAGTAAATGAATATAGTTTTTTTTTATTTCGACACTTTTGTTATTTCAATTTATGTAACTAAATTAATGATTAGGAAATATATATCAATTCTGAGTGCATTGTTGTACATTAATGCACGGTTTGTGTTTAAATTTCTAGGAATATAATCACGAGTGATTAATTACAAAGCATTTGAACGAAAAAACATGCATTATTACAGTAGGAACTGTACTTACGGTCACCTCTTTTCGGCGGTCACCTGACATAAATGGCCATTTATACTATAATGCAAATAATTAATATATATTTTTATTCTAACACGTCAGGAGAAAATATGTAGTTGGATTAAATGTTTGATGGTTAAATTTGTTTTCACCTGTTAGTTTCCAAAAGAAACGTCCTGTAAAGGCTGTTCCCTTCGGTTGAAAAAAAAAACTGTCGTTAAGTCTTCCGTTTGCACACACATTTTGAGAATAATGAATTTTGAAAAGTGGATACAATTTATGTGTGTTTATTTTGTTTCACTTTATGTTTTTCAAGCAAGACATAAATTATTTATAGTGAAATAAATGTGAAATTTAACTTGTTTGCGACATTGAAATAGCGTTCTTTGTTGGACTGTTTTAGCAAGCGATATTTGGCGCTATATTGTGACGTCATGTAAGCAACACTTTAAACGTCTGTGCAGCGTTAATGACTGAATTCAAGATATTGGTGTTCGTTTTATCTTCTTAGACCATTTTCTATCATTCTAGTTAGTTTTCAGAACAAAATTTACCAAAAAGTTGTTTTTATTAATCATATTTTTCAAACAAAATGGCGCCGTCAGTGTGTCGGTTTTAAAATACAGAGGAAGGAGACAAGAACGGCAAATGCACTGTTGTGTAATATATCACACTTCCGACCTTATTTGTTTTTATAAGAGATATATCCGATAGTGTTAGAGTATGTAATAATGCTGGTTACATAGTAAGAATACCATGTATAAAGTAACATCTTTGGAAACGCTGCTTAAATAGTTACGCTACTGCCCTGCCCTATCTCTCATTTATATTAATTTTCATACCGTGAAATTTTGTTGAGTGTAATTTATTCATCTTATTGTAAATAACATCACATGACATAAAAGAATTATAATTTATATATGTTGGTTAACTTTCTTGTTGTGTTAGTTAAAATTTATTTCTATAAAATTCTTAAAATTAGAAAGAATATTTATTTTTATTTTTCGTTTAATACGGTTATTAAATATGTTTTATCAAGAAACTTTGTTTTTGTGTTTGTTTATTTATAATGGTTTAAACCAAATCACAGAAAAAACACAATTGAGTTAAAGCCTTGTCTCTACATGAATAAATTAGCATACAAATAGCGAGGGAGACTTGCGGGTCTTGGCTCTTTTTACTGGGTTCATTGAACGCAACGTTCATTGAACGCCGCCTTTCCTAGTTGATCTTGTTTATCATATTTTCTCTCTGCAACATGTCGCCTCGTTTGTGCCCCTCTCCTGTTGCAAAAATGTAAACAGACACATCTTAAACTTATTTTAAAGTAACCACATCCCTTTGTAGTAAACACGTTTTGCTTTTGTTTCTCCTCGTCTCTTAATTTTGCGTAGCACTTGGTCAGGTCTCATATTTTCTCTTAAAAACTGGACTTTTTCCCTTTTCATTTTCATGAACATGAAGGTCTTTAATATTTTGTTTTCATATTCCTGGAACCTTTTACGATAAGAGAAAATTCTATTATGTTTCAGTCTGAACTGTAACCAACACATCGTCTAGATCAGATTTTATTTCTATTTCAAATATTATTTTTAAAAAACTACATATAAGCGATCAAAAAATAAGATAACTTAACAAAGTTAGTGACAAAGCAAGCAAACAAGATAAAATAAGTAATAGAAAGCGAAAATAAAATATGTTTTGTTCTTACACGATGAACAACGTCCTTCTATATCCTTTGAAAATCGTAACTTATTTACTTACATTAAAACTCATAATCACCTTGGACTTACTTAAAATAAAGATAAAAATTGACATGAACACATCAATGATATAATGACTTCAGATTGTAAAGTTCTAAGCTCAATACAAACATTGAAATATAAACTGAAACGAATTCAACTTCATGAATTCATGTTTGGACTTCGTGAATTCATGTTTTAATCGGTGCATTTACGAAGTTAAAATCTTGAATTTGAAAAAAATAAATTCATGAATTTGAATTCGTCAAATAAAATAGTAAAATCGTGTAGTTGAAATTGCGAAGTCGTGAATTTGAAGTCATGAAGATGCAATCGTGAATTCATGAAGTTAAAATTTGAATTCGTGAAGCTAAAGTGTAAACTCATGAACTTGAAATCGTAGATCCGTGAATTCGATATAAATCGAGAGTTTGTGAATTCTTAAGATGTAGCTAGGAATTCAAGATATTGAAATACCACCACTGGTCGTTTGTATTATCCAACAGCAAACATAAAAATCTTACAAACATTTTTATTCATTCATCCATTGACTCAGAGATGTTTATCTTATTAAGAAAGTAGTATTGTTTACATGCTTAATAAAATTTCATTACGAAAATTAGGATTGGGGCGCTTACGCGTTACCATGGTTGTTAAAATTACCGTCCTGATAGTTTGAAATCATCTTTACTTTTTAGGTTTAGTAGTTTGTGTTTTACAAACTATAATATTGATAAAAAATTGAGATAGAGAATGATTGAATTCAGATAATAAATGGATAAAATCAATATAAAAAACACAAACAACACACAAGGGTTACATTTTTTTAAATCCACATGAACGATGTAACCACACATGTTCTTCGAATTTGGGTCTTTTCTCCTTTTGTTAACTTTTTTTTGCAAACTACTTTTATACCTTTTAACTTTCAATTTTCACACAGGGGAAGTAAATATTGTAGCCATGTTTACCTACCGGACTCTTTCTTAAAGTTAAATTTGTTTAAATTAAAATATTTACAAATTGCACGCATGTTGCAGTTTTTAGCGAACATTGATTTCAACACGTTTAGTTCGCATGTGTTAAAAATTGAGTACTGTTCAAGTCTGAGCTAGGGGTATAAAGGATGTTGCACTACATTATTTTCCTTATGTACAGACTCAATCAAGGCGAATTTGTAATATCATTTCATTTTTTATTGTGATTTATGCTTCCGAGGGATCACCCTATTTTCAAGTTTTGAAGCAATATAGACAACATAATTTTAATGAAGATTAGCTTTTGATTTAAGTATCATACATATATATATATATATATATATATATATATATATATATATATATATATATATATATATATATATATATATATATATATATATATGAGTTATGTCATTTACGGTGTCATTTGATTATGAGATTCACTGCTCGTACTTTTTATTTTTTAACAAAGCCGTGATAAATTATAAAATGTTTAACTTAGATAACGTAGACAGTCTATTGCACTTTTTAATGTATTGATATTTACTTTTTTCGTCTGCGTGTTTTACAAACGCTCGCATATTATCACCACTCAATCTAAATGAACTTGAATCTTTCTCACAAGTAAGATTATGTGTCTATTTTAAGGACGTAGAACGCGTCACCCATAAAATATATTCAATAATGTATTGGTTTTCTGTCGACCCCCTTACTCTTTTCTGTTTTGGCACATTGCCAAATTCGTTGTAAATTCATGGCGTACATGTATTTTTGATTTATCGAGATCAATTGAATTATCTATTACTCCAGAATACGACTTTAGATATAAAACTAATTGTATAACGCTCAAGACAAAATATTTGGTTTTGAGTTAGAGACTTTTATTTCTTCTCGAAACATAATGAATGCAAAATCTCAACCTTTTACACAATAATTATAGAACCACTCGAATGCATACTTATTCGCTTTTTAATACGACCAATACCAACAATTTTTAAACACCTTCTTCATAAAAATATGATGTAAAAGTATGCATTCATTGTGAACAATGTTTCAGTAACAATATTCGATCAATATTTTTCGGACAACTATACCTCGTATATCCAAAAAAACCAAGTGTATGCCTTAAATATATAATATAGAAATATAGTAAATTGTCAAACGATCAAATTAAATGGTTACTGTATTATTTGCCGAGTATAACAAGACTATGACAAATAGGCATTCCTTTAAACAAATAATATTGTTTGTATAAAAAAGATATATCTGTTGTTTTGAATGAATATTTATACATCATACTCAGAACTAGGAAGAAATCATAATTCGATGTGTGATCAAACAATCTTTTTATGTCATGACTAAGTCATGACTAAGTCAAACACTTTTCAACTGATTTCATCAAAGTACGGAAACAGAGGCTTGTAAAGAAAATAACGACAGACGTAAATCGGTTAGGCGGACGACGCGAAAACAAAATTTCTAAATTATAATAATCATTGCCGTGCAACTTTTTACCATTCTAGTGCAGTAATGATAGTTGAATTTATAACTGAATTTAAAAATGTAACGTTAGGAAACAAATAAGTTCTATTTAATTCTAAAGATAGACAGAATCATGAAAATTAACACGCACAGCAACTAAAGGTTTGACACAGCATTATTACTAAAGCGAATTAATGTTTTACATAAAAAGCAGTATTGAACTGGTTAGCATTTAATATAAAGCGTTTATATTAAGATAAATCCTTTCATTTAAAACCTTATAGATATATCTTTTCTGTCCTATCATATTTAAGGTAGACTGATTGAAACGTCCTTCACGTAGAACAGAAATTTTATCAACTCACTGTTTAACTATTTGATTTATAAACAGATAAAATGCATATGTTTTATACGAGCCTGTGGAAGAATATTATTTGTACGTTAAACGGGGAGTTATTCGTAAGTGAGATATCAAAATATTTACTTAACTTTTTTGTTAACAGTGGATTAAAACAATAGTTAAAGCCTTAAGAAAAAAAGAAGCTGATTGTTGGTTATTTAATTTCATAGGTAGGTTTTTAATATATCGTGACTTTTGTTAAATAAAGATGGGAAAGAAAAACAAAAAAATAAAAAAGGATGTATTTTCTGCATTTTGTGACAAACATCCTAAGCATCCTATAGAAATGTTTTGTGTGGATTGTGACAAAGTTGTCTGTGTAATTTGCCAAGCTACAGAACATAAAAGTAGAGCTCATACGAAGATACTTACAATCGAAGAAGCATCTACTGACTGCGCTAAAACTAAGGAGTTTTTAGAGTATGAAGACAAACTTAATACAGTTTTCACACGTGAAACTAAAACATTGGCAGATAATGACAAAGTTCTCACAATAACGGATCAATTAAAAGAAGAAGCAGAATCTTTGATTAAGAAGCATAAACAGGTCATGATTGATCTGATTGAAAAACATTACAAGATGTTATCTAAGAGGAATCGGCTCAAGTACGAAGAATCAAAGAAAAGATTACTGAGTGTGAATGAGCAATTGTGTAAGAATGAGAATAAAACTTCAGAGATTCGTCAAGAAATCAATGCAAAAAAAGAGAGTGGACAAAGCGTGGCATTGTTTATAGCTATGAAAAAATCTCAAGATAATGTACGGCAAATTGAAATTGAGTTAGAAGAAATTGAAAAACTAAATTTTGTTGAAAGGTAATTATAAATATGCGACATACATATAAAAACTTCTTCATTAAACTTATAAACTTTTATATCTGACACTGTATAACGCAGCTAGCTTACCTTACTTTTCTTTACAGGTATATCTTGTCTCAAAATCCGACCTTTGATAGTAATCATGAAAATTTAAAGCTTTATACCAATTCAAATATAATTTAGAAAACTTTGACACTTATAAACATAACGCTTTATCTATTCTTCCTTGTTTAAAGGCTTTGGTTGAATCGAATGATTGATGTCACACCAAATATACATGTGTAATATATTTCAATAAGCAATTGTCATAAGCGAACGCCACATTTTGAGGTTAAATTTTCTTTAAATTAGAAGTGAAAAGTGATGGACAAAATAGAGTAAAATAGAATACCTAAAGAATACCCAATACAGCAAAATTGAAATGTTGAAGGCTTGGTTTGATTGAGCCTGTTCATTGACGACACTGAATTCGAAAAGTGCACGTTACCGTCCACCACGCCCTTTGACGCGGATTTTTCTATCCTATAAGTGAGCAATATTTTTCCTTTACATACTCTATATTTATATGATATATTCGATATTACAAATTATCTTGGTAGGTATGAGTTTCAAGCAGGACACATGGTGCTACAGCTTTTGGAGGAAGAGAAAGAATTTGGTGATTTATTGGTAACGGCGTCCACGTCTCCAAAAGGTATTGGAATCTATGTGATCATAGTTATTACTAAAATGAATCAAATCGTCTGTATGAATATTCTTCCACCCATTTCAAAGAACAGAAAAAAATCCCGATATATCAGAGATCCAATATGTTATGTAGAAAGAAAACATTTTTAATAAAACAAAATTTTCATTCAACAATTTGAAATTATTGTTTTTCTTGCGTATATATATTGTTACGAAATCCTTCTCTTTTATGAAAAGCTTTGTTTATTCACTCTTTTCGCTTAAAAGTCAACCATTTCTTTTGCTGGTATAATGAACAAGTCAAGTCCAAGTGAAAGCAGGATTATATTTATTGCAGTAAATCAAAATAATGCATCATTTTATTCTCTATCAACAGTCAAAACCAAAGTAAAATCCTTAACAACTTCAACAAATACATTTCTGCAATTACTAACCAACTCAACTCAAAACCCCAACTCACTTCAAAACTCCTCAAAAACCCCCTCAAAACTAACCCAGCTAGAAAAGTTCCCAGCTTATATACCCTTCTGTTTGCGCAGCTAGGGTGGTGTGCAAAAGTAGACTGTTGCGCGACCCACTTGCGCTAACCAGTTTTGCACACAACTCATTGCGCGACCTGAATGTTGCGCGACCTATTAAAGTGCTGACAATGCCTTAACAATGTTCAAAATGGCCTGCAACTAGTTCAGGTATACAGACTGTTGTACAATACAAACATTAGTACAAAAATACATAATAGTTATATAAATTTACATGTTTGAACACTCAATAGGATAATAATTATCTGTCCAATAATGCATCTTAATAGTGCAAAATATACTTGCAGTAATAAAGATATAAATTATGTACTATATATGGCTTATAAGACCAATACACTTACTACTGATTGACATTTCTATAAACTTATAATACTGACTGATAATTCATTAAACAACAGAAATATAATCTCTCCAGCTTTACAACATACAGCTCAACATTTGAACCAAGTAACCTGTACATAGATAAAGCTGTGAGTAAGGAATCCCATTCATAAAATCTGATATGACCAAATTATGCTTTGTTAACAACAATTGAGATGCTGAAGGGCTAAAAATAACTTAAACCTTGTACTTTTAGTCTGCGCGACCTCTTATTGCGCGACCTTTCCATATTTGGAACTAGCATGCCTGGGAAAGCTGATTCTGCGCGACCTTTCCTATTGCGCGACCTTAAGTGTCGCGCGACCTTTGTCTGCACGACCTTTCCAAATTTGGAATGAGGTATGCTCATAATCTAAAAATAACTGAGCTGTGCCAATATTCTGGACTGTTAATGACTCAATTATTTTACAACAAAAATGAGTAAAAGTTAACATAAACATTTTAACCAGCTTAGAAATATTGTCCAGATTTACTATCCTAAAAGAATACTCTTCTAGTAAAAGATTAGTTTCAAATTTCATAACACTCTCCCACCTTTGGCCTTTGCTTACTCTGGAAGCAAAACCAATTAATTTACACATGTGAAGTTTTTAAATTTGAAGCAAACCTTGAAAACTCTTGTTAAGTGAAATTGAAATAATAATAAAAGAATAATATTGGTACTAAACATTACATGTGAAAAACTACTAAGTGTTACATGATATTATGCAGATTAAACATAAGCAAAACTAAACAAATTAACAAATAAGCATTATGGATTTTTATGAAATATATAACATAAATATGCGATAAAATCCCATAACAGTTTTCCCTGTCTCTTCAATTTAATTCACAATCTCCAACACACTTTTGTTAAGTTCAGTAAGACATTTTAGAAAGTCACTCATTGCTTGTTTTTTTTCTGTTTGAATATGTCTGATTTCTTTTTGTATGTGTGAAGTTAACTTAATTTTTAAAGAATTCAAACAATATAATAACAGTTTAAAATGGAACCAAAGCACATTTGCAAATACTTCGTAGGGCTGTCATTACCCTTTTATATAAGCTGACCCAAACCTGTGACTCAATTCCAGGGTTGCAAAATTCTAGGTTTGACATTCTACTTTAGGTTATCATAACAAAGCCTGTCTGGATGTCTCCTGCATCTTTCTCCTCTCCGGGGACTGACCTCCTTATTGTTATTTATTGGTGTAAACAAAGTGGTGTTCTTTTTTAATGTTTTAGTTGTTGTAAGCTGTTTTTGCAGGCCTACAACCCATTGTGGTATAGTTGTACACTGATATTTTTTAAGCCTGTCATGATGGACAATTTTTGGTTTTGATTTTGAGGATCCTGTTATTTCAAATAACAAGTCACTGATTTTTCTCGTTATTACAAATGGTCCCTTCCAAACTTCAGCCTTTAACTTAGGACTTTTCCCGACAATTCTTGATGAATCAAGACAGTAAACAACATCCCCAACATTATAATTATTCATGGAAATTCTTGTATCATAGTCACGTTTTTGTCTTTGTGAAGATTTACTCAAATTCTCTCGAACAATACTGTAAATCCTTGAAAATTTCTCATTTAAACCAACTACATAGTCAGTATAATTCTCAAAGTTTTCAGACTGACAAGAATGTCCTACTAGAAAATTTACTGGTAAGTGAAACTCTCTTCCAAACATTAACATGTTAGGTGTATATTGAGTACTTTCATGGACACTTGATCTGTAGGCACTAGTCATTATGGGCAAGTACAAATCCCAATTTGTCTGTTAATTATTCACATAAGTAGTAATAAGGTTAAGCAATGACTGATTAAAGCGTTCCACCATACCATTAGATGATGCTCTGTATGGTGTACATCTTGTTTGATTTATTTCTAGTAAACAACACATTTGTCTAAATAATTCAGACTGAAAATTCTTTCCTTGATCTGAATGTAAGTCCAGCGGTAATCCAAATCTACAGAAATACTCGAACACTATCTTATTTGCAACTGTTTCAGCACGTTGGTCTGCTATAGCGTAACATTCAACATATTTCGTAAAATTGTCCAAAACGACTAAAATGTACCTATTTTTACTCTCTGAAATGGGAAATGGACCCAAAATATCTGTTGAAACTCTGTCCAAAGGAAACCCAACATAATATTCCTGTAATGGTGCCTTAGCTTTCTTATTTGGTTTCTTTCTGGCTCCACAGAAAGCACATTGCTTAATACATAGTTTCACAGAAGATGACATTTTATATACCAGTAAAAGTTCATTTTTATTTTTTGCCAGTGTTTTCTTGACCCCTAAATGTCCAGATGGAATAGCATTATGTGAAGCTTTAATAACTTGATTACGTAAAAGTGATGGTAACACAAGTTGATCATAACTGGTAACATTATCTGTTTGAATAAACTTCCTAAACAAAATTCCATCTTTAAGATACAACTGAGACCACTGCAACCATAAACTTCTTGTCGCTGGGCTTTCAGCGGCAACTTTGTCACGTGGTTGTCTAATATCAGAACTAGACAGCCAAAACAAGATTTTGCCTATATCACTGTCTTCTTTCTGCATTTTTATAAGTTCACTTGTGGTATACGAACCTACCCAATTTGAGAACTTATACACTTTTTCAGAAGAAATGTCACCATTTGGGTACAGACCTCCTGCATGTGATGTCTGTGCCATATCCTTCTCTTTGGTGGCATCACTTAAATCAATGTTATCCGCAGCACCAGACTTAGGCGCACTTTTCTCGGTGCCCTAAGTCTTCTCACAGAAACAAATTTCTCACAACCACGAAATTTCTGTTCAATTTGCCTGAGAAACGCTCCCAGATACAACGCAAAAACAAACAGAAAATTCAGCACTGATGCAGAACAGTCCCTAACTAAGTCGGCAGGAACACCTTTTCCTCTGACTCGCTTGACTTTCTTAGACACCAGTGGAACCACATCATCAAAATCTGCAAGTTCCGACCACTGTTCATGCTTTTTCACACATTCTTTACAACCTCCACACGGAAGCTCACTTAGAATAGAGTGACCACTATAACAAGTACACGAACAAGGGTCACACGGAATCCTCGACAAAAAGTCAGCATTTGCATGCTTAGTTCCCTTGCGATGTTCTAGCTTAAAGTCATATTGTGATAGCACTTCAAGCCATCTAGCCATCTGATTTTCTGGTTCTTTGAAGGACATAATCCATCTTAATGAAGAATGATCACTTCTCACTAAGAACGAACGTCCTAACAAATACTGTTTAAACATAGTAACAAATGTAACAACTGCCAACAGTTCCCGACGTGTTACACAATAGCGTCTTTGAGCCTTATTCAAGCTTTTGCTCGCATATGCTATTGGCTTCTCGATACACTGTCCAAGTTTTTCACTAAACTGCATTTGTGACAAAACTCCTCCTATACCGAAATTCGACGCATCGCAATCAAGTATGAATAATCCATCATCTTGAGGGTATGCCATGACTTCGTCACCAGTCAATGCACTGCGTAAATCATCGAAACTTTTCTGACATTCATCAGACCATTCAAATGGTTGTCCGGCCTCCAACAACCTATTTAATGGCCTAGCTCTTGTGGAAAAATCACGAATATATATCCTGTAGTATGAACAAAAACCAAGAAAGGATCGCAGAGTTGTTAAATCGTACGGCCTTTCCCAATTTGCAATACAACTAACTTTAGACTTTTGAGGGCTTATTACCTCCTTACTAACTACATGTCCTAAGAATGACACTTCAGTTTTTAACAGAAAACATTTGCTTGGCTTCAGTTTCATTCCACACTCACACAAACGCGTTAAAACTGAATCAAGCCTATCTAAATGTTCTTCAAATGTGCGGCCAAAAATAATCAAATCATCAAGGTATATCAGCACAATTTCCCACTAAAGACCTCTCATTACTAATTCCATACATCGTTGGAAGGTTGACGGTGCATTATATAATCCGAACGGCATTACCAAATATTCAAATAAACCGAATTTTGTAGTGAAGGCTGTCTTTGGGCGATCAGCCTCATCAACTTCAATCTGATAATAGGCTGACATAATATCCAAGCACGAAAAATATGATGATCCCCCTAAACTTTCCAAACAATCACTAATATTAGGTAAGGGGTATGCATCTTTTTCTGTTACGTTGTTAAGCTGACGATAATCCACACAAGGTCGTGTTGTTCCATCACGTTTCCTGACATATACTAATGGTGACGCCCAAGGAGAATTACT